GTAGATACAGGTGTGTAATACATGACTGACTTGGTGTTCTTCTTCTTCAGGCAGGCATGTACTACTTCATCCTCATCGACCAGTCCATCTCTAAAGTTCAGTTTATACTGGTTATACTGCTGGCGTTCGGCCTGCTGGTTGTGTATGGTGAGTATATCACTCTAGCACGTATCATTGACAGTGCTGATGTTTAACTTTAACACGAGATAATCTATGTGAATCTGACATTGAGAGCATGTGTTCTTGAACAAGACTCCACGTACAGTATACCCTGGTTATAATGCCACCGTTTGTCTAGGAGAAAATATGGCATTATATCCAGAGTGGCATTATAACCAGGTAATAATAATAATAATATGTCCATTTATATAGCACCAAACTCCACACTAGGTATGCTCATAACGCTAACAATCAAGGCAGTTAGAGGCCCTACGCAATCAACAAGGTGACTGAGGTTATGTCTGCGGTAATGAGCCTTGAATGACTGGAAAATCCCAGCGTCTCGGGGCTGCAGGTGACTTCTTGTAGGGGGCTGGAAGTGTATTGTCACATGTGTTAACCTGAAAATGACTTTCGTTCCAAAAACCATTGGCAAATGGCATTACATCCAGTTTGTCATTATAACCAGGGTATTATTTAGACAGGAAATCCATTCTGGCAAATGGCATTATATCCAAGGTGGCATTATAGCCAGGGTGCACTGTATGTCTAATGCTGGTAACCAGTACCAAACAAAACCTATTCATGTATTCAAGACAAGTCTTTCTGTCATACCATTTGGGGACCGGGATATTTCTGGATGTTTTTAGAAGCAGTGTAAAACTGACACCAGTCAGTGAAGCATTCTGCAGACTCATCTTGTGTTTCAGTGAAACAGAACTTTGCCCTGGCTGAGAGAATCATCATGGGTCTGTGGTTATTTGTCTCAGCACTCTTTACTGCAGTGAGTACATGTCCACACCTATAGCTGTAGCATACAGTCGTATCCGTAATTTGTGTACTCCTCACAGGATGTATGGTTTATATGTTCATGTACTCCTCACAGGATGTATGGTTAATATGTTCATGTACTCCTCACAGGGTGTATGGTTTATATGTTCGTGTACTCCTCACAGGATGCATGGGTGTTCATGTACTCCTCACAGGGTGTATGGTTTATATGTTCATGTACTCCTCACAGGGTGTATGGTTTATATGTTCGTGTACTCCTCACAGGATGTATGGTTAATATGTTCATGTACTCCTCACAGGGTGTATGGTTTATATGTTCGTGTACTCCTCACAGGGTGTATGGTTTATATGTTCGTGTACTCCTCACAGGGTGTATGGTTTATATGTTCATGTGTACTCCTCACAGGGTGTATGGTTTATATGTTTGTGTACTCCTCACAGGGTGTATGGTTTATATATTCGTGTACTCCTCACAGGGTGTATGGTTTATATATTCGTGTACTCCTCACAGGGTGTATGGTTTATATGTTTGTGTACTCCTCACAGGGTGTATGGTTTATATGTTTGTGTACTCCCAACAGGGCATGTGGTTCACGCTGTTCCTGAAGACGTATGACCGTGATCTGATGTATGAGGAGGTTAACTACACGTTCCCCAAGCCGTGGAAGATTGTGAGCTGGTGCATCGCTGTCCTCCCTTACATCGGCATCCTGCTGGGAGCGCTACACACACTCTTCACCACACATGGACCTGGGGTATGTCATACACACACAGCCAGTGGTCATACACACGGACAGCCAGTGGTCACACACACACAACCAGTGGTCATACACACACAGCCAGTGGTCATACACACGAACAGCCACAGCCAGTGGTCACACACACACACACACACACACACACACACACACCAGTGGTCATACACACACAGCCAGTGGTCATACACACGGACAGCCAGTGGTCATACACACACAGCCAGTGGCCACACACAGTCAAACATGAGAGACTTACTTGCTACAAAAATGAAATTACTTTTAAATGGTCAATGTAATTTTTTGTTAATGATGTAATTATATGAACACATTTTTGAATACATAATGGTACCCCACCACCCCTTCTGCAGTTGTAAGTCATCGGTAAAACACAGACTCACTCGCAGGGTTTAAGGTTTCCTGGTCTAAGTTTTGACATTCCGCAATGTATTTTCAGTTCTTCACCAAGTGCTGCTGTGGCGTCACAGAGCGGGTACGTGAACACGAAGATACAGAGCATGAGGAGACCCTAATGGCGTACCCACCCCCCTCCCCCCGAGCCAACTGCACCCCCGTACATGCAGACCTACATGGAACACAGCTACCCCATGGATGACCTGGGTTATAACCCCAAGTATGACTATGATCCCCCGGAGACGGAGCCATTGACTGCCTCCAATCACTGTACACGCATCTGATGATTCATTAATGGCGGGGCATGCATGCATGACTGCCACATCACAGTTCTCCACAGTGTTGGAAGTGTTTCTCATAAGTCTCCAGATTCTCCAGTCTAAGTAAACTTACACTGCTATACTGAGTCTAACAAAACCTAGTAGAAGGTAGCGTCAGCTACCTTTGAGCGATCTATGACCGTCCAATCAAACGCAAGACGACCGAACGGATTTAACCAATTAGACAAGGACTACTTGTTAGGGTTCGGCGGGACTTACAAAACGTTTTTTGAATTTTCTCTTCCCTGGTCGTTGGCACTGATCTATCAACAAATGAAAATCTGCATAAAACACAGATATTTGACCTGCAGTATATACGCTTATGGGTTTCTAATGACATGGTTACTATTTGCTTATATTTTCGCAAGATAACATCCTTGAGTATTGACAAAAGCGCTATTTTCAGTGACTGTTTACTCATTGCGTGTATCACTCGGAAGCGATCGTGCGGAAAATAGCATTCCAGTTCGGGTTTTTTAGGTAAAGGTTCAAACAGTATGTGCGAATGTTAACTTTCGCGATTTGGTAAGCTGTGTTTTGATTGGTCAGTCCAAAAGGTTAGCTGACGCGACCTTCTACTAGGTTTTGTTAGACTCAGTATAGCAGTGTAACGAATAATACTGAGCCTAAGTTTACTTAGACTGCCAGATTCTCTAAATGCTAATTTTGACAGTATGTGTTATTTTCTCATCACTGGTTATGTTATGAAGTACAGTGTAATATGCAGGGATGAGAATTTTCCAAAGATTTAATCGCGCTGGTGTCATTGGATCTTTTTCACTCATCCCTGAAACTGATGCAGCAAGGTCAAGGATGTCAAAGGGAGACAACTCAATTCCATGTTTGTTACACCAGTGTTGAAGATGTTCTGTGTGCAGTGTACAGCAGGATGAAGGGGCGCTCACAGTGATGATAGAAACATGACCAATAGTTGTTTTGATTCCACTTTCCATCAGTTGTATCAGAATGTGTTTAACATACAAGTGGCGCTTCACACGTGGCCACTACGTACTGGTGGCTACAAAGACTCTTGCACAAGTCCTTGAGATTCTATCACACACAATGTGAATATGTCATCAACATTCATCTCCAGAAGCAATTGCCGACCTGTGCCGACATGCTTGTGATGTGTGAGATTGTCGTCATCAGCATTACGTACCTAGGGGAGCTGCTGGCCTAGTCACTCACTCAGACTCTCACACAAGCGGACACTCAGACAAGCGGACGCTCACACAAGCAGACTTGTAAAAGTGATTCTGGGACACTCAGACATGCAGACTCTCAGATACTCTGACACTTAGACACTCAGACAAGCAGACACTCGCACAAGCAGACGCTCAGACAAGCACTCTCGGGCACTCAGACATGCACTCACACAAGCAGGCACTCAGACATGCAGACACTTAGGCATGCAGACACTCAACTCTGATGTGGACACTTCCTTGTATCTGTCTCAGTCCACGGATGAAAACTGTTGAGTGTTGAGGACACCAATTCTACCAGAACCCCTGGAACATGTTGTACTATAGAACTGTAAACAGTTTCAACTACAGAACTATTTAAGGTTCTTTTTATAGACCTTTACAATGTATTTGTGTTTCCTAGACTTTGTTCACATACACAGTGTCGTCATAGATACCACAACATTCACAAGCAAAGACTGATGTGTGTATCCAGGACCACTGTAGAAACCAACATGTACAGGGGTCAGACTCGGAGATGTTCAGGAGGCTAATTTCCAACCCCTAGGTGTTGTTATTATTGTCGGAAGAAGCCCTGCTGTCCATTGGTTGGTCCGTTATACTGTCATTGACCCTAACTCACTCACTCACCTACACTGGCAGCATTACATTTGTACTAAATACACGTAATATGTGTTTTTGATAAACTATTTGTGACCATATTGACAAGAAGGGGAAGTAGTATGAAGGAAAGTAGCATAGAGCTGGAGCAGCAGGGTCTAAATGAGAAGCTTTAGAGTCATCCCGAGTTATGGCACCATAACTGAAGTGAGTCATACAACAGTTTCTTGTATAAAGGATTCTATTTTAGCTTAGAATTGTTTAGAAATGCAAGTCTAACATTCTATCAAACAAATATGGTGGAGAAACTGTCTATTATTTCATTTACCTTGGCAATAGTTTCTTGGATATTTTTGTTGAAACTAGTCCTGACTGACTGAGACAAGTTGTGTTGTCCTGTCACTAGCTGTAAAGGCTTCTCGGTGGATGACCTTCCTCGTTACATGCCAACATGACATGAGAAGCAGGCATCTTGGTGGATGACCTTCCTCGTTACATGCCAACATGACATGAGAAGCAGGCTTCTCAGTGGATGACCTTCCTCGTTACATGCCAACATGACATGAGAAGCAGGCTTCTCGGTGGATGACCTTCCTCGTTTCATGCCAACATGACGTGAGAGGCAGGCTTCTAAGTGGTTGATCCTTGTGGTTACATGCCAACATGACATGAGAGGCAGGCTTCTCGGTGGACGACCTGCCTGGTTACATGCAAACATGATATGAGAGGCAGGCTTCTAAGTGGACGATCCTTGTTGTTACATGCCAACATGACATGAGAGGCAGGCTTCTCGGTGGACGACCTGCCTGGTTACATGCCAGCATGACATGAGACGCAGGCTTCTCGGTGGACGATCCTTGTGGTTACATGCCAACATGACATGAGAGGCAGGCTTCTCGGTGGACGACCCGCCTGGTTACATGCCAGCATGACATGAGACGCAGGCTTCTCAGTGGACGACCTTTCTGGTTACATGCCAACATGACATGAGAGGCAGGCTTCTAAGTGGACGATCCTTGTGGTTACATGCCAACATGACATGAGAGGCAGGCTTCTCGGTGGACGACCCGCCTGGTTACATGCCAACATGACATGAGAGGCAGGCTTCTAAGTGGACGATCCTTGTGGTTATATGCCAACATGACATGAGAGGCAGGCTTCTCGGTGGACAACCCGCCTGGTTACATGCCAACACGACGTGAGAGGCAGGCTTCTCGGTGGACGATCCTTGTGGTTACATGCCAACACGACGTGAGAGGCAGGCTTCTCGGTGGACGACCCGCCTGGTTACATGCCAGCATGACATGAGAGGCAGGCTTCTCGGTGGATCACCCGCCTGGTTACATGCCAACATGTCTTGACTGTCATATTGATATGATGATGTCTTCAGAAGTGAACCTTCTATTGTCGCCATGTTTCCATGATCATTATTCTAATGTCTGTCTGCCAACAGGTCACTTCACAAGGACAGCATGGATGTTACTGCTGTGTACGAAGTCATCTAGATTATCACTTCGTCAATATGATTGCAATAGTATTTCATTTTATGTTGTTAGACTGGTATTTTTACTCCTTGTCCTAGTATATACTCACAGGTAGATTTGTTTCATGTTTATTTGCATGTAGAATACTAGTGACTGGTCATGTGAGCATGTAGAAGTGACTGCAGTAGTTGAACGACGTCCATGTCCCAGTCTGGGACTCGGCATGTTCTTAATGTACATATGGCACAGATCAACAACAGTTTTGTACATATGTCTGTCTGTGTTTTTTATACATAATACATATTTTGTATAGCACATTTTACATGTAACCTCGTCTCATGTTTACGGACTCTCGGTGTATTGGCCTCGTCTGTACAAATGTGTATTGTCTGTTGGGGCTTCGTGGCTGCTGCATCACTCTCCACGCAGTCTGCAGCCAGGAACTGTTTTATCAATTATACGCCTGGACAAAACACTACTTACAACATAATTCCATTTGTAACAAAGGTTTTTGTAACTTGCAATCTGTGTTTATAAAACTATATTACCTGATTGTCAGCTCCCTGATTATATATTTACCTGTGTGTCTGACTGTGATCAGATTTCCCCTTATACCTGTTTATTCAATCACCTGAGTACCTCTTGAGCCACTGTTCTGTAACTATACTCCCCATCAAAAGTTTAGACTCACTAGTGTAAATGTAGCCACTTACTTCAGTCAACTGTTCTAAACGAGATTTTGCAAAATATTCCACTGTTTAAAGGTACTGTTTACACATGAACTGATGTATTGTAAAACAAATTCGTAACGTTGAAAAGATTATTGTCATGAGTTCAAAAATGATGAAACTCCGTGAAAATTAGCGAAATGTTTAATTCTTAACAATACTTGGTAACAATACAGCTGTTCACTGCACTTTTCAGCAATTTGATGCATGATCCTCTGCATAAAGTTTGAAGTTGGTTCCCCCAAGTTAGTGAAGAAATTAATCTTCACTGTAACCATATATATACTCCTGGAAACGAATAATTGTGTTTATTGCAGTCCGCGTTGGTTTGATTCTTTTATGTCTATATTGTTTTTGTGTTAGATTGCAATTCATCGGTATCATTTTGTCTCAAACGGACTGTAGTGAGTGCTTTAAGTGAGTCTAAACTGGGTAGTATATTTGCAATTATCCACTGGTTTCCCTGAATCATCGTAATAATAAAATGACTCATGATCACTTCTTAGGACAATCTGGATACATACAGTCGAGCACTGTTGTGTCGAACTCTGATGACTCGATATCTCGGTTGTCTCTATATAACATCTTGGTCCCGGCAAAATCCTTCATAATTTATCATTATTCAAGCTCTTTTAACTCGATATGGATGTCTCGATATTTCCGATATCCCGATATAATGTCATGGTCCCAACAAGCAAAATATCCTTTTAACTCTATATTTGCAAAGAAACTCAATATTCACCTACCTTTCATGAGCTAGTATCCCTCTGAACTGAGGTTGTTTCCACACGATGCGGCATGAATCAAAGGGATGCAGTAGTGTAAACTAATTAGGGCTTGTTTTATCCAGGTGTATAAATATATTGTTTTTAATGAACAAATTACTCTTTTATAAGAACAAATTACAGAATTCATCTGCATTTTATACTACTCAAAGTCCCTTTTATATGAGGTCAAAATTGGGTCATCTTGTACAAAGATACACAGGCAGATGAGGTAGGATTTTACAGCTTTAAGTCTGTTGCCACTAGGAATGTTAGAATTGTCACTATTGTTAAATATTCACATTACGTAATATTTTTATTGATTAAATTAGTATTAGTTGTTGGTCCTTTTTATATGTTCTGCGCATATGTTATGTAGCTAGATTATTGCATTCCGTCATTGTTCCGTTGTTTTATGTACTATTTTCAAGAGTGCCATAAAAGCATGTTTATAGTTCATCTGAAACACCAAGTTGTCTGAACAGCTGGTGTGTGTACAGGGCTGATGAAGCCAGTGGAGATCTCCCAACACTCTGGCACTGTAACTCCATACCAGGTTATTGTTTCTTAGCCTATCATGTCACCATTAATGGTATATCGTATTTTTAATGTAAAAGATTAGACAAATTTCAATTTGTTTGGGTTTACAAATCAACTGATCCTCAGATATTGGAAACAGGTCATGTGGAAAACAGTTTTGTTTATTATTCCATTGAATGCAGTCTTTTCAAATCCTAGTCAGAAAGGTTTATCCGAAAGAATCTATAATGAAACAAACACAAAAGCTTACATAATTTTGTGCCCGTTTAGCTGAAGTTAAAGATGAGCTGTTTTCAGTAATCCATGTAAGTGTATATGATATGTAAGTCCTAATTCAGCTTGACGGTGCAGGATGCATGGTTAAACTGACGTACTTCTGTTGTATCATGCAAGTTTTCCATTGGTTAGACTCACAAAGCTGAAGATGCTGGCATTACAGAGCATCGCCAACATTCAGGGCACAGAGGCTGGGACAGGTTTACTGTTTTGTATCAAGAGGATCAGTAAAACATCAATTTTCACACCACTGTGTTTGTTGTTTGTGTTGGTAGGCCATGGTGCACGGATCTGTCACACTGACACCATAACTCTTACTTAGTCTTAGCTTGGCTGTGTTTGTAGGACATCATGTAGGAAGTAGGGGGTACCATGTCCTGCTGGCACATCATGTAGGAAGTAGGGGGTACCATGTCCTGCTGGCACATCATGTAGGGGGTACCATGTCCTGCTGGCACATCATGTATGAAGTAGAGGGTACCATCTCCTGCCGGGGCAGTATGCAGGAAGTAGAGGGTACCATGTCCTGCTGGGACAGTATGCAGTAAGTAGGGGGTACCATGTCCTGCTGGGACAGTATGCAGTAAGTAGGGGGTACCATGTCCTGCTGGGACATCATGTTGGAGGCAGGAGGTACCATGTCCTGCTGGTACATCATGTAGGAGGCAGGAGGTACCATGTCCTGCTGGGACATCATGCAGGAGGTACCATGTCCTGCTGGCACATCATGTAGGAGGCAGGAGGTACCATGGCCTGCTAAGACAGTATGCAGAAAGCAGGACGTACCAAAGAATTACACCATCAAACATGAATGACACACTATTTACATGCAATGTTCACATAGGGAATGGTTTGTTCGACCATACATACCATGTACATTGGAGGAAATGCATTTAAATGTTTCATGTGTCACATGTCAGTAGATGGCAGGGTTTAATACAGGACATTACTGTCATCAGTTCAGTCTGGTACCTCAGACAGTGGACCCGTGATGATATGGATTAGAACTGTCTTCAACAACCTATACCTGTCAACCTGCTAACTTGATTGACACATGTATGTCATCGTATCCGAATTGCATACACTGATGCTCATGCTGTTGATCACTGGATTGCCTGGTCCAAACTCAATTATTTAAAGACTGTCTACTAGCCTGTAAGTTTACATCACATTTATATCATAACTTCAGTTTCTTTGCTCTGGCCTTGTAAGCAATGGTAGCTTTGATAGATACAGTCCGTTTGAGTCGGAAACAGACCGATGAATTGCAAATTTTATCATTGTACAAAACTGCCACATAAATATAAATAGTATACATGTTTATCATTTACTAATACCCAACAGCTTTCTTATATTTGAAAATTTTCCGGACTCCACCAAAAAAGTTCTTTAAGAAACTATCATCAAAATTTTGACACAGTTCACTATTTGTTATGAGGGAGGAGTGCAGAGAAAGGGACAGCCAGGTGTTAGAGAAGCACGTGCACAAGTGCCCACTAAGTTATTGATTCATTAGCCTGTGCTGTGCCGTCTCCATCCTTTCTCGCACACCTGAATTCCAAGGTGGAGTGAATTGCAATTTACTGTGTTTACATAAACTCTGGGTAAGGTGAGTATGGTTTTACGCTGCTTATAGCAACATTCCAGCAACATCACTCCAAGGGACACCGAAAATGGGCTTCACACTTTGTACATACATGAGGAATCGAACCCGGGTCTTCAGCGTGACAAGCGAATGCTTTAACACAAGATACAAGACAAGATTTTAGCCATACATACACTAATACTAATCTGGAGCACTCTAGGAATGATATCCGGCAGATGACAAATATATGAATAAACATTGCCATTTAGAACAGAGGTGGAAATAACTTTAAAATTGCTAGTGTACTCCGGTACAGTGGCACATGTAAAATCACCTGCCCTGATAATGTTTCCACTATACTGACTGATTTTCTTGATGATTTTTCAAATAAGCAACATAATTAACATTGGAAAGTCAACTGTACAGTGTCATATACAAAGTTGCTTGCCCGACAGAAAAAAACACTGGGCCGGGACGTCGGGCAATGGGTTATTTCCATCCCAGTAGAAAGTGGTCAAATGTAACAGATTATTTTAGGGATTTTCTCAGTAAAGTACAGATTATAGTAATTGTGGGGGGTGAGTCCCATCTAGGATTTGAACCAACAGTTGAACTGCTAGCACACATGTCAACAATCTAACGCACTAAGCCACTGCAGCTTTCATAACAACTGAAGTCTGAGAACTGGTAGTCACCTACTTTGTGTACCCCTCTATCAAGTGTAGATTGACTTGGATCCATAGTATAGGCCACAGCATCACTTTCTAAATGGCATAGTGTATTCCCAGCCTTTGATAAGATGCAACAGACACAGGCTTGATTTCTGATCATATGCTGATCAGCACATTTTATTGACAGTTTCAACAATTAAGCATTGTTGAGCATGTTTAGGGAACCAAATACACCAAATTATACAGTTAAAACTTTATACTGTACTTTCACTTGGAAGTAGATTTTTCCAATCATTTGTATAAAACATGTCAAATATACACAAGAGAATTCTTACTGCCATACATACCTAATTGTCAGTCTTTGAACTTGGCTCATAAACATTACGGATTGGTCCAGACATTGGAGCATGGCAATTAATATGCTTAATACTAGGGGTGAAATGGTACACTCTAACTATGCTATGCTACATATTGCAGTACAAGGCCTTCAATTCGGTCCGTTTCGGTTCGGTATATGAAATATGATCATGATACAGAAAATTTACAAGAGCTAAATTTTACAATACATTGTTAATAACATGGAATAAAAATAACCATAATCTTTGTTAATTTCAATGAACAACAATGTTATTTTATGAGTCGATAGAAGAATGGTACGAAAATACAAAATGCTGTATTTTTGGATCGCACTAAGGTATACCGAACCGATGGCAAAATACTGCGGTATACCATTTTACCCCGACATAATACAGCAAATATGGTTAAGATTTTGGGACATAATGTGCTCAGTACTAGACAAATATGAAAACACACAATGTTCCATCAAGATTGTAACAACTTGTGGACTATACGAGTAAATATGATAGAAGCACACACTCCTGTTTGTATAACAATTATCATGATTATGGATGATCCAGGTGAATTAAGTTTCATAATTACATGACAACGGAATCCAGTCATTTTCCCACCCGGACAATACCCCACCCAAATATATACCTGGTCAGTCATTTCCCCACTATCCTGAACAAGAAGTATTGTAAAATACATTTCATTCTTAAATATTCAGGCAGATATAATCTTAAATATTCAGGCAGATTTTCTTGGCAACTGAGTTCATAAATTTCCCCCACTGATCAGCTGCTGATAACCATCCAAACACAGTTCCCTTCACTCAGGCTTCAGATGCACCAATTAACTCATCAATTTTTTTAGGTGTTTTCAAAGAGGTGGGAAAATAATATTCTTGGGTGGGGAAATGTCCAGGTGGGGAAATGGCATATGGGGTGATGTGGAGGTGGGGAATTGCCCTACACTCCATGACAACAAACGAAGGTACACAACAGTTATGACAGAGTACATGTGGAGTACGCTACTCTGCTGCCAGTGTTGACGACGCCGCCTCCTCACTCCCTACCACTGCCCCACCATCGTCGCTGTCATCAGGTATCTGCTGGCCGTGAGTTAGTAGGTGTGACTTCACCTGTGATGACTGACAAAATATTTCACCACACACCTGTAGGGCTTCTCACCAGTATGTGTGCGCCGGTGAATAAGCAGGTTGTTCTTAAGGCTGAACACCTTGCTGCAGTACTGACACTTGTTCTGTATGCATAGCCTTCACATGCTTCTTGAGGTAGTCCAGCTTGGTGAACAGCTTATCACAGATTTCACATATAGCCACCTTCTCCCCAGCATGCCACTTCAAATGGACATCCAGTCTCTCTGTGGAGAGAAATCGTTTGTCGCACTTGTCACAGGTGTACACTTCACATGTAGCGTGTACTTTCATATGCTTCTCTAGGTTTTCCGAGCGTGTATACGTTTTGTCACACAATCCACACTTGAATGGTTTCTCTGTTGTATGAGTCATCATGTGACGTTTGAGGTGACCGGAGTGGGTAAAACACTTCCCACACAGATCACACTTGTCAGGACGCTCACCTGTGTGTGTTTTACGGTGATTTTGTAAGCTCTTTGACTCTGAAAACCTTTTGTTACATACATCACAAGAGAAAGGTTTCTCACCAGTGTGTGAACGCATGTGTGTTGTGAGATGCTGTGAACGAGAAAATGTCTTATTACACACCACACACAAGTATGGCTTCTCATTGGTATGAACACGCATATGAATCTTCAAATTGTCACTTCTGTTGAACACCTTCTCACATATGTCACAAATATACACTTTCTTTTTCTTCTCTGTAATGCCATCATTAGGGCCCACCTGTTCACTAGACACATCTTGGGTCACGACGGTAATATTGTCAGTGAGGGAACCCTGGTTGTAGCAGTTCTGTATAAAACCAAGTTGTAAATTAGAAGAAAGGTCCTCGCTGCAGTCTGTGTGTATCTCAGTATCAACAGTTACTTGTTCTCCATCATCACAACTATCTTCTGTGACAAAGCCTTCACGCAGGAGTTCTTTTGGTTTGTTTATTTGATTGAAGTCTGACTGAGAATACTGGGATCGTTCATGTTTGCAATCAGAAGAAGATGCATCAGACTGGGGCCCCAGCTCTGGGGCACAAGTGATTGCAATGTGTGCCTCCATCGTCTCAGGCAAGTATCATAGCTTACCTATGGTGCCAGAATACGTTGGCAGCATTGTTCCCTTGCACAACTTATGTTTCTTCCAGCATTAATAAAATTAGATGGGGGTCGTTCCCGAAAACAAAAATGTTTCTCCAACAAGTGCCCTCAGTTTATGCAATCCTCTATAATGAAGATCATGGGTTACACGGATTGTATGGTTTGTTCACTGTAAGTCGAGGAATCCCAAATAAACAGACAGTGTTACGTTCGGATTACGCTGATATAATATTACGTTAGTAACGAGACACATTTTTAAGACCCACTTTGGCAACATGACGGCTGATGTATCTGCTTCAGAACAAGTGCATTTTGTTATCTTGATGAATATATTCCCGCTGATGCACATTCAAAGTTTCTACAAGTTGGCCTTTCCGAGTCCGATGGACGCCATACTGTTTTCAGGGTTTATATAAAAGCTGACAAGGCGACAAGAACGAAATCGGAATCGTCACCAAGTACTGAGGTTTACGAAAGAAAATAAACTGTAACAACTACACCTTGAATAATATACACAATTTTTGTGTGTAACTAAACATTCATGCAACAGACTCTTTAATGGCGTGTGTAAATATCAGATGAATCGTTAATTCGAGTATAGCAACAAATACCCTATATTGCATGATAACATGTTGTAACAGTTATGAAAAGTAAACTTTTGTTCTAAATAAGTTTTTTAATTTAAGTGTCACATGTTTATAAGAGAATAAATCTGTTTTGTTTTGTAATAATTCAGTTTTGTTTGCAAAAATATATTATTAAAGACTATATATATGATTATTCAAATATTCTGCAGCATGTTGGTCATTTATTATCAAGTTATTATCATCACTTGCTTGATAGCGGTGTTAGTACCTACACCAAAACGTCGCACCCATTGCAATGAAGAAGTTGACTATCCATAGAACTTGGTTTTCCTTCATCTATACAACTTCTAAAATGCCTCTCAAAGAAGTCATTTATTATCATTTGGCCTTACCCGTATTTTCATAACATAAATGAAATCATTCAATATTTCGAGCTACAGAAGTTAAAATAGAAAGACCTCAAATATATTCATTTAACATAACTTTAATACATTTAGATTAAGAGTTTCTTTATTTAATGTTCATATGGTATCTGAATAAAGATGTAACATGGTTGACAAATCGGTCATTATTAATCAAGTCAGTGGTTTCATGAAACAGATTCAGAACCAATATTAATTACTCCAGAAAATATTTTTAGAAAAGTCGGTAATCTGATGGTGTATACATAGATGATACCTTCTCCATAGTGGAGATCATAATATCATACACGTAAATGTTAGTATTGTCTAGCAACATATCAGTAAAATATCTTCTACATTGATGGCATCTTCTCCATAGACTGTGGCATTAATAAGTTTCAATAGTATCTTGTACAAATATATTTGTTTCTATTTCTATTTGAAATATAATGCTGAAATACTCAAAACAAACTTGATTTCAAAGTGACATGCTAATTATTTGTTCTGTTGGTAGCAGTAGCTTGATCATCCCCCTCTTGCCTCCTCAGCATCCAGTACTGATACTGTACTTGTGACCATCTCACAAACATAAAGAACTTACATCACAGCAGGTATCAGTGGTAGCAGGGACCTTTACGAAGATCAGTAAATTAAGTAAATTTCCACACGGTGCATGTAAGAATACTCTGTCTCAGACCCTGAACCACATTATTTCCCTACTGCCTAGCCCTCCCTGCAGTGCTAAAGCCCTAAATGAAGCAAGTCTAGATTTCCTCAGGTTCTGAACAATTCCCCACATGGGTACAATGTGTGAAGCCCATTTCTGGTGTCCCTCACCATGATATTGCTGAAAGCGGCGCGTAAAACCAAACTCACTCACTCAGGTCCTGAACAATTCCACACATGGGTACAATGTGTGATACCCATTTCTGGTATCCCCTGCCATGATATTGCTGGAATATTGCTGAAAGCGGCGTAAAACCAAACTCACTCACTCACTCAGGTCCTGAATTTCCCAACTCACTGGGGCTCCTTTTGAATTTATATGGGTTTATTTGTTCCTATCAAAATTATATATATTCAGGGACTAAGCGATATAAATGTAAGAAGGAAGGGTGCATATTATGGGGTAATCTGTCTCACAGTCCTTTCAGAACTGCATTATTTTCCCATTCTGCCAAGTCCTTTCTGTAATGTTTAAGCCCTAAATGAAGAAAGTCTAGATTTCCTCTGGTGTAGGTTCTGAATCTCCCATTTGATTTGGGCTCCTTGTCAATTTTAAAGAAATTGTTTGTTTCTATCAAAATTATATATATTTAGAGACTAAGCGTTAGTCTAATCCTGTAGAGATATAAACAATATATCATCCTTCTATATATGTGTTGAAAATGTGCAGGTTATGGTGCTTGATAGGGCAAAAGTGAATGATGCAATCTTGATGCATTTAAATTAACCATTATAGGTGATAAACTTTCTCCCTTATTTTGGTTTCTACTTGCTACTATCGTGGGAACAGCTTACATCACACATATGGTGCTGTTTCTCCAGTATAAGGTGAAGCCAATGAACACTCCAAGCAATGAGCACTCGGCTTACATCACACATATGGTGCTGTTTCTCCATTATAAGGTGAAGCCAATGAGCACTCGGCTTACATCACACATATGGTGCTGTTTCTCCAGTATAAGGTGAAGCCAGTGAGCACTCGGCTTACATCACACATATGGTGCTGATTCTCCAGTATAAGGTGAAGTCAATGAGCACTCGGCTTACATCACACATATGGTGCTGCTTCTCCAGTATAAGGTGAAGCCAATGAGCACTCGGCTTACATCACACATATGGTGCTGTTTCTCCATTATAAGGTGAAGCCAATGAGCACCCGGCTTACATCACACATATGGTGCTGTTTCTCCAGTATAAGGTGAAGCCAGTGAGCACTCGGCTTACATCACACATATGGTGCTGTTTCTCCAGTATAAGGTGAAGTCAATGAGCACTCGGCTTACATCACACATATGGTGCTGTTTCTCCAGTATAAGGTGAAGTCAATGAGCACCCGGCTTACATCACACATATGGTGCTGTTTCTCCAGTATAAGGTGAAGCCAATGAGCACTCGGCTTACATCACACATATGGTGCTGCTTCTCCAGTATAAGGTGAAGCCAATGAGCACTCGGCTTACATCACACATATGGTGCTGTTTCTCCAGTATAAGGTGAAGTCAATGAGCACCGGCTTACATCACACATATGGTGCTGTTTCTCCAGTATAAGGTGAAGCCAATGAGCACTCGGCTTACATCACACATATGGTGCTGTTTCTCCAGTATAAGGTGAAGTCAATCAGAGCACTCGGCTTACATCACACATATGGTGCTGTTTCTCCAGTATAAGGTGAAGCCAGTGAGCCATCCAACCAATGAGCACTCAGCTTACATCCCATAAACAGTTATGTTTCTCATGTGATATTTCCTGAAGGGTGCTAACATGAACCTGCCCGCAACTAAAAGACTGACAGCAGCAAAGACAACAGAGACAAGAGCTCAACAGCAGTAATGTTTAATCAGGATTTCATCCATGTGTGGTGCACATGACACAGACATACTGGCAGTGGGAGGGAGTCACACATCACTCACACACAGCGTATACTGCACACACATCACACACTACCAAACTGCTCTTACACGTTTATACACAACAATGTCAATAACACTTGGGATACAATTGTATGCAAACATAGAAAACAATACATGAAGAATAATGCCACATATTTGATATTTGTCTGGAATATTTCCAAAAACAATTTGAAATAATTATGTGTCTGTATAATCATGATTCTGTATAATTAGAAGTACATAGTTAACAGAGAAGCTGCCACTGTTAGCATCACAGCCAGATCAGAGGAAGGTGAGCAACTGTACACTTGTTGCGATCTGTGAGTACCCCCCGAGTGTCCATGGCAAGATGCTCTGTGTGGCCACCGCTGACCCATGGTCAGTCCCCACACTTGGGAATAACTGACTTTATACTGCAGCCAAAACTCCTTGCTCACCTGCAGTGTGCGAAATTGTTGCCAAGTTTTGCTAGCCAGTCGGGCTAGCAATGCCTGAAAGTTTCTAGCCCACAACATAGTTCTCTAGCCCAAAATTTGAATGTAGAAACTAATCAAAAGATTACAAATATAGATGAGGATAAGATATTTTCGGCATGACATGGGTTTCATCATTAATCTAATATGAAGAACATTTTTTATCAGGCCATAATCTTGCATGATTTAAAAGTGTATTGTAACTTAACAAGTCGGTGAGAGAGATATATTTACATATGAAAATTCACCAGCCCGTTGGGCCAGTGACTGTGGAGATTTACTGGCCTAACTGGATTTTTACTAGTCACGGGCTTGCAGGCCAGTGTCTATTTCGCACACTGCTCACCTGACTCTCATGAAAATGCAACATTTCAATATGAGACTTTAACTAGGGCTTTACAAAAACAGACACCCACAGACATCCCTCACTGTTATACTAATTCAAGTTGCATCAATATAAACATAGAAATTACCTTAATTAGCACTAACGGCTTCAGGTGAGATGTCAAACATGTCTAACACAGTGGTTATTTCATACTCAATCACACAAAAAACAACAACAGTGATTGTTTAATTACGCAGTCAGCAATATAAGTTCAAGATGGCTACCTGTATAAAATACAGAATCAAGTCACGAGGCTGACAGAGACAGTGGTCACAGTGAACTCACCATGGGCCACATCTTGTAAACCACTGAACTAACTGAGAAGATGGGTGTGATACAAAGTGACCACAATATGTAGCACCGAATCAGAATTCTGTTGGCATATGTAATTAGCAACAGTGCTAGGAGAATCACTACAACATTTCATGTTTATAAGTGTTGTACAGGTTGTTCAGTATTGAATATGACACACAGTGCTTACATTTGTACAGGTGTACAGTCACATTGAATATATTGTCATACATACTTACTGAATATCAAATATTCACCATTACATGTACACATGGTTGAATAAGGAAACAATATCTCAATATGATTCTGATTGGAGTGCAAGTAATATCAGATAACAAAATTACAAAGATCATGCTTGAGTTTAAATATACCAAGATTTTTTTCTGTTATAAATACAACAGTGCTATACTGTTCCTGGAGCCTAAGTCAAGTTGTAACAAACATTAAAAAACACAACACAATCAAATATTCTTTTAATGTCTATATAATCTCTATAGATCCATGACACAAAGTCACAATATAATTTGGTACTGAAACAATACCATAACATTATACATTTCAGAATACTGAATCAATGGTCCCATTCCACGAAGTCATCAGCTTTAATTAATCTATGTAAACATGTGGATTTAATTGTCATACTGCTAACATATCCTTCATGGAACAGGGCCCTTCATACGACTTTATCAGAAACAGTGTGTACAGAGTTGTCTCCCCTCCATCTTCAGAAACAAAATCATTCGTAACTACTTGTGTCATTCCGGCAAGCCGGATGGGGCTTTGTACCCCTCTTGTGGCCATGTCCACAACTGGCCTTGTCTAAGCCCAAATGGGCACAGAGATGAAAATACTCTAGGACTATTTCCAAGGAAAGATAACTCAGAATTTCCAAACATTTATAATACAACAAGAAAGTCACTTTAAGTAGGTTTCTTATGTCGTTAACAAAGATCAGTAACAAAACATTTTATAATCAGGAAACAATGGTGAAAACCGACAATCGCAAAGCAACTATTTGACCTCATACCACATTTTACTAAGCGGGATTTATTTGGTTTGCCACAATTCTTGGCAATAATGACATACTATACAGGTAAGAGTCTTCTTGTAGGTCACAGAAAGACACAAGTAGTTACGAATGAAACAAAGTGTTACAGAGTTGTCTCCCCTCCATCTATGACATGTTGTACTTCACCAGGCCTAAAATGTAGTGAAGTAGAAACATCAAGTCGATGTATTGTCAAGTTCCCCTCGCAGGGCTGGATGAACAAACAAGTTCTGTACATACAGACTAACGCCACTCAGCAGTACTGAACCTCATATAGGGGTAGCCTAGTGGTTAAAGCATTCACTCGTCACGCCGAATACATGGGTACGATGTGTGAAGCCCATTCCTGGTGTCACCCGCCATGATATTGCTGGAATATTGCTAAAAATGGCGTAAAACTAAACTCACTCACTGAACATGATACAGACCCATGCCACTTGACCTACTTCCATAGACTTACATGTTAATTTAGTGTGGCATAAATAATTTTCATGAATTTAATTTTCGTAAGATCCAAGTCAAATTTTGCACATTTATGAGGAATCATCTTACCTACAATCACATAATTTCTGTTTAATTTTCTGTTGCTTATTTATCAAATGGCAACAATTTAATCAACATATGTACAGTGCCGTGAACTCCTTTAACATTGCGGCCTATGGGATTGTTCACTGTGGAACCATACGTAAGTTGATAAATGTTATGTCATTAGTTAAGTAGTGGTCGGAAAACTGAACTTAAATTATGTGCGCAGAGCAGAGATGATTTCACATTTGCCTGTCAAATTTTATAAAGATCCATCCTCAACTCACTTCATGAAAATTATTTATGCTACACAGAAATAACATGTAAGTCTATGGAAATTATGTCAGGTGTCCGAATATATCTGGCACGGGTCTGTATATCAAGTGATGCCAAACAATAGACGGTCACCCACTGACACAAATAGCTGCATCTACATCAGTGCCTCATGGGTAGTCAAACGTTATCAAGCATCTACACAGACTGGCATTAAATGTAGCCGTTTGACAGACCCTGCACTACCGACCGATGAGTTAAATGCTGGACTCGGCCATGTGGTCCTACAACATCTACATATCACAGCACTCTGATACACAAAAACACAGAACTTTCTCCCTGGATCAATATCTTCTTCCCAATGGTGAAACAAAAACATAAACACATGAACTGCTCCGGACATGGATGAACTATCATCAACATGTGTCAAGACTCCTGGAGATGGGTTCAAGGTGAGTTCTGGAAACATCCTCAACCCTATATTGACAGTCCTGCGTTTCCATAGATTAACAACTTTATAAATTAATAGAAACCACTAACCACCGATCTGTGAAGTCCTACTTTGGAATTGTGTCTTATCATCTTCAGTCATAGTCCATCCTAACTACATGAAAGAATCTGCCAAGCATTACACATGAAATGATTAAATAGAGAACATACTAGGGTACAGTATAAGGGTAGTTTGAGTGGATTGTGACGAAGTATTCAACAGGTTTGACATCTGTCCCAGACTGTGTTCTGAATTTTTCCTTATCCTGACTCATGCTCTTTGTTTGTCTTCTTCTTCTTGTAACATAGTGGAACACTTGTATCTCCTTATTTGAAGCCCTTCAAAATAAAATCACTAATTGGTACTCACCACGAAGTTGCTCCCCTTGTGTCCCCTGGCGGAAAAGGTGTCGCCACCCTCTGGCCATGTGCTCCACTCTCCTTCTTCCAGTGAGCAGGATGTGAGAGCTTTGTGTCTCCTTACACACATATCCTTTGATAATCTCTTAGTTTTTACCTCTCATAGGTTACTATAGAGGTATAGCTAGTATCCTTTACTATTTGTATTGATTAATTATCGATTTCTACCGTTTATTCACGGTATTCGGATTGTTCAGCTAGCTTTACGCTCATGAAAATCTGTACGATTTGTAGATTACGCTTTTCTGCCTCCCGATCCACATGTAATATGCCCTAGTTGTTCTACTGTGCAGCGCTTAATTCACGCTTGCAGTTACTGCATTAATTTATCTCATTCTGCATTTAATAAATATCATCTTTTATGCCTTAAGACGGCTGCAGATAGATCACGCAAACAAGGGCAAAACATGGCAGAGAGTCCAGATATTCCTTCCAGTCAGCTGCTAGCGATCGACCCTCTCCCGCCTGGTGTTCTGCTAGAGACCCCTGCGCAGAGGAAACGGGACGCAGTCCGCTACTCAAGAAACGACCGCCTCCCCAGACATCCCGCCATTGCAGACTAAGTCTAAGAGGGCTCTCATCGCCGCCTCAACGCAGATTGAGGACACTCCAGGGCAGCGCAGACTTCCAAAGGGAAATTCCACGAAGACAGCAAGAACTTCTCAGCCGAGATCGCTCCAGCAGCAGAGTTGGGCCTCTACGATGATCAGCCGATAATCATCCCCCGACTTACGGCAGAAGAAGCGACCGTGTCAGCGACTGTGACTTCTGCAGAGATCTCCATGCAGCCTGATGCTCTACACCGACGCCAGACGCCATTGATGTGAACCCCATCGCAGAAAAGACGCATTTAACTTCTTGGCCACAGATCATCCCAGAAGACATGATGCGCAGATTATGAACATCATGGAGGACCACTACAAACCGCGCAAGCAGGGTCCGAGTTTTTCGCTGGAAGGCTCCAACGACAGCACCCCAGAGGCACCCCCGCCAACGTAGCAGCCTAAGACGATGTCACCTTCGCCAAGGAAGTCCCGCACCACCTTGACGAAGGACCTAGATGTACAGCTCTTCGCTAAGGCCTTCGCTCGGCGGAGAGATCATCACCATCTTCGATTTCATCTCTAGATATGGACTCAGACCATCAGACATCACGGAAGCCTTCGCTAAGGTCATATCATCGATCCCCTCGACCGACGCGAATGAAGCTTCGCTAAGGCATTCGCGAAAAGACATATGATTCCAGATCTTCATCGCCTAGAAGAACATCGAGGGACTGCCAAGAGCTTCGCGGGCTATCAACATTCACCTCACAAGTCTCCGAAGATCATCCCATAGACGCATCTCCACTGCGCTCATCACCAGGTCGATCACCCATCAGATCTCCACATAGAGCGCGACAAGTCAACTAGATCGCCACAAACCTCATCAGATATTCAGATAGCTACACGCAGTCCCTAAGAGCATCTACAATTTATTAATGATGATGGTTTTGAGGATGATGGAGGAATCATATTTTCTGATGCAGAGATACGGTATTGATGGTCAATAACCTAGATCTCACATCACCATCTAAAAGTGGCAATACAGCTCAGACGATTTGATGAAGGAAGATGATCCAGATGCAATCACTCTACCCCCGACGATCTCGGGATTATGCAGTGCCACAGAATCTAGATGCAGCTTTCCAGAAAGCTACGAAAAGTTCAGATACCACATCTACCCAACTTTCAAGCCAAGAAGTTCTCCACGATAACATGGACTCCTTCTACAAGGCCCAGGACATCGATGAGAACTATAAGATCATCAGCCATGTAAAGAACAAGATTTACAAGATGGATGATCGCAAGTTGGCTCATATAGAAACCATGACAGACGATGTTCTTTGGGTTAAATAGATCTAGGACGCATCAATGAGACTCTTATTACTAGATTCCGGATTCCACGACGGAAGATGATAGAATGATTTATTCTGCCTTACTTATGCAAAAGAAAGATCAGCAGTTTTAACGGATCATCTTACATCTGTTTCAGCAGCACTGACCTTAGCTCGCCGCCAAGGCCTCCTCGCCTCCTGTAATTGGGGAGAACTTTACAGCCCCACTTTATACAGCCCCTGGTCGACAACATCCATCTTTGACGGAGAAATCGACAAGGTCGCCAAGGAAGTCTCTAAGGATTCCAGGGAAGTCCTTATGATTAGATCGATGGACACACTAGCCAGCGCCATTCGCCAGACTTCACAAAGATACTCAGGCAGATCTAAGTTCACGGGCCTACAAAGAGCAAGAGACAGGAAGATAGCCAGCTCTAGAGGTAAGATTCTTTCGTCGCTTCATATGGCAACTATAGAGGAGGATCAGGAAGAGGCAGGACACCCAGAGGTTCCCGCAATTATAGACGCTGAAACACAGGTTCGAACGACTGGAGTCTTCCACCCCAGCCGCTCCAGTACAACCAGCTCAAGTGGGTGGACGCCTCCAACTACACTGGGAAAACTGGGGAATACTGCAAGATCCTTACGCCTCCAACATTATTCAACACGGATTTCAGATCCCTCTACAGGATAAGCCTCCGCTGACAATCAAACCCCCAAGTTCGATTTACAAGTTTAACAACTACCAAAGATAAAAGAGGCTGTCTCATCACTCCTATCCAAACAGGCCATAGAAGTAATAGATCAAGCAAACGCCGAACCAGGTTTCTACTCCCCAGTTTTCCTAGTTCCCAAGAAAACTCCACGGAGAAATACAGACTCATCTACAACATGAGCTTTTTCAACAAGAACTATCTACGAAACCACCGGGTTTTCGCGATGATACATTTACCTCAGTTACGCCAGATGATTCGGTCCTATGGACTACATGGGCAGCATAGATCTACAGGATGCCTACTTGCACATCCCCATTCATCCCGATTCCAGGAAATACCTACGATTTACTCTAGAAGGGCTACATTACCAGTGGAAAGTACTCCCATTCGAATATCATCAGCCCCTGGCTATTCACGAGGATAACGTAAACCGATTATCAAATTTCTACATCGCCAAGGGCTACGCGAGCGCTTTACCTCGACGACGGGATACAAGTAGATCAAGATCCACCGCGCCTCAAACTACAGTTAAATTACATCATAAAGCTACTAACACAACTAGGTTGGTTAGTAAACTTACGCAAGTCGGACCTAGTACCATCGCAAGACCTACAGTTCCTAGGTATTCGATTCATCACAAATCGCAACCGTATTATGGTACCAGAAGACCGCTGGCTCAAGATACAACAGACCATTCCACCAGCTCTACTCTCCGCTACCACTCGCGACAATGGCAGAGCCTACTAGGTCTTCTCACATCAGCCCAAGACATGACTGTCACAGGCAGATTACAGTTACGCCCCTACAGGTCTCATCAACGACATCTCAACGATGTACAACCATTCAGTCTACCAAACATCTCAGACCACATCTACTATGGTGGACCAAGAAATCGAATGTCTGCTAAGGGATTTGTTTAGCAGAGCAGGAATACAAAACCCATCTGTATGTAGACGCTGTTACCCAAGGTTGGGGAGCTCATCTCACCAACCACACGATATCAGGGTTATGGAATCAGCAAGAATGCAAACTCCATATAAACAGTCTAGAAATGAAAGCTGTAATCAACGCCATTCTACATTGGAGCACATTTCTACAAAATGCTACTTAATGATCCATACAGACAATTCGACAGTGGCGTTTCTACATAAACAAGCAAGGCTCAACGAGATCGATGAACCTTTTGAACCTAAGCTTTCAACTGTTCGATTTAATACAAGATCTAAATCTACATGTCAAAGCAGTGCACATTCCCGAGCCAGAAATATACTAGCAGACGCTTCTCTCGGCCTCATCTACCATCACCGACAGAGTGGATGATCAACCGGAAATTTTTGCACAGATAATCAAGCAATTAGAGAGCCGCTTAATAGACCTATTCGCCACGCCGATTCAACAATCAGCTACCGACATTCGTGGTCACCAGTCCCAGACCCCAAGCTTGGGCAACGGATTTAAGTCTATCATGGAAGGCCTCAATGCGCACGCTTCCGCCGCCAGCAATAATACCTCAAGTATTACAGAAAATCAGACAAACACAGAGCCTACTAACTCACTTTGGTCGCTACTCTACTGGTCGGCCAGAACGCGGTTTCCCATACTAATTCAAGAAATCGGGTCAACCAACACTGGAGCTACCCAAGCCGCCAAAACCTGTTAATTCATCCTCACACCAAACAAGTGCACGGAAACCCAGCAATGTTCCAACTACACGCATGGACTGTATACAAATGTGTTTAAACAAGAGAGGATATTCTGCCAGGGCGGCAAAAGCAGTCACGCTTTGCCTTTACGCTATTCAACTCAGAACTTGTAACGATTCTACAAGTGGCACAGTTTCAAAATTATGCAACAAAGAAAGGGTTTACAGCAAGAGAGGCTTCACAACCTCAAGTGGCAGACTATTTGTGTTACCTACCAAAACAAACATTTAAAAGGTTCAACGATATCAACATATCTTGCCGCGCGCTTTAGCTCTGTAATCACCATGAGAACGGGTGTCAAATTGACAAGATCTCCAGAGTTACTGGCCTTACTACGAAGCCCGATTGAGGACCAAAAGCGAAGTTCCACTTCCAGCTTGGGATCTGAATGTAGTGTTACAACACCTCACGAAAGTGAGGTCTATGAACCCTTGAATCGACAAACTTTGAATTTCTCTCACAGAAAACATTGTTTCTGCTATCGCTAGCCACAGCAGCAAGAATGTCTGAAATTCACGCCTGGATTACTTAGAGGATACAGTTTGATGACAATCATAACACAGCACTCCTCGGATTAAGATGGGATTTCATTGCAAAGAATCAACTGCCAGGTCAACCAGACAGATTATTCCACATCCCGGCGCTTATCCTCTATTCTCGATCACAAGATACACAAGACCTATCACTGTGTCCGTAAGAGCCAAAGTTTATTTTACTTAATTTATCCAAAACAAGGAGAAGATTTCTCAAACGCTTATTCATCCCATTATCGCCACTTAATCAAACAGAAGTGTCACGGACCACAATATCTATTTGGATAAGGACTGTCATTCTCGCGGCCTACAAGGCAGCAGGCTTGGACCCACCAACAGCATCAAATCCACATGAGATCAGGGCACTGGCCTCTACCCTCGCCTCTACACGTAACTGTTCCTTGAACACCATTATGGAAGGATGCTATTGGAAATCTAACATGGTATTTGCTAATCACTACCTAAGAGACATCACTACAGAAGATGTCTCTGGCATTCACCATTTCGACCACTGGTCCTCGCCAGCAACTGACAGTCCCTCAGAGATGCTAAAATATTAGCCTCACAAGATTAATATGTATTTTATACATACTCATCTAGCTTATAACTCTAAGGAGTTTTAGGGCTATGTATATATGTTCAGCTTAAGTATTCTACCTTAAGCATATACTTGATATAGTCAATTTCAGTGCCTCTATCAGAGTCACCTATATATATATATATATAATTTATATGTATTGTTCAATATATTCATAATGTAATTCCCTTTAATGGCTTTATATAACCTATGGTTTTCTTTATACAGGAAACATCCTAAATCTAAGACTTCATGAAGTTCCCGTGAGGGATATTACAGTATATCTATACAAAATCACTAATTATAAATCCAAAGTATTCTGTTACCCACCTCCGCCTGTAGGATGCTACAAGCAAAAGAGCATGAGTCAGGATAAGGAAAAATATGTAATTTTTAGAGTAAAATTGATATTTTATACTTATCCTGACTCATGAGGTTAGCCCTCCCATCCTCCCCACATAACACTTTGGATTTCCTGTAAATTCAAGTGTTGGGCTCTCGCTAAATCAGGAGAGAGTGGAGCACATGGCCAGAGGGTGGCTTACACCTTTCCCGCCAGGGGAGACAAAGGGGAGCAACTCGTGGTGAGTACCAATTAGTGATTTTATTTTGAAGGAGCTTCAAATAAGGAGATACAAGTGTTCCACTATGTTCGCAAGAAGAAGAAGACAAGCAAAAGAGCATGAGTCAGGATAAGTATAAAATATCAATTTTACTCTAAAAATGACATCCTTTCCATGAAAAAGATGTTAACATTCTCACAAATTAGCCATATTGTTGATATTACCAACCCAACATTGAGGCTGGTTTGTAACTCACATTCTGATAGGTGGGTTAGACCCAGTAGCAAGGTCAATAAGACTGGCCAACGTAAATCAAGGGCAGGTAATTTGTGATCGTAAGAACCACAGGAATGAACCAAGGGAGTTAGTGCTGGTTCACCAAAATGCAAGATGCCCCTGAGATACAGAGGGTGGACGTGAAGAAGCCATTAAGACAGTATAAGATTTGTGTTCAATGGAGATCCGTCTACATCATAGAACATTGATGATCTAGTATTTCCAGTTTAAAAGAGACTTGAGTGAGTGAGTGAGTTAATATTTAACGTCACATCGGCAATAAAAAGAGACTTGAATACGAACTGACATTGCAGATGACAACCGACCTTAAGATTCAGAAATATTCACCTGTTTGGCACCATCTTAGTAACTACCTGACTTACAGATTTATAAAACAACAAGAACACCAAGGAGATGATCAGATTAGAAAGGATTTAAAAAATATTTCAAGTGCTGTCTTTCAGGTGAAAAGAAGACAAATGAAACAAGAGTTTTATATAATTATATCAAATTCAATGGGTTACATCATTTCAATGTACACCTATTTTTCATACACTGCCTTCACGCTTCAACAAGATGAGGAAAGATTGCTCTCACAACTTTATGTACTCTTGTGAAATATCGGCTTAACTGATGCTTCAGAATAAGTAAGTGAACACACAACACGTCCAGTGTGACACAACTGACGTCACATAGAGCAGCAACATAGCTGTAGTCGGACGTTAGCCTAGCCTCTGCATGGTGATATCAGCTCACTCCGACTCGGTGATATCCTGGAGCAGGACTCTCCCACTCGGTGATATCCTGAAGCAGGACACTCCCACTCAGTGATATCCTGGGGCAGGACGCTCCCACTCGGTGATATCCTGGAGCAGGACACTCCCACTCAGTGATATCCTGGGGTGATATCCTGGGCAGGACCTCCCACTCGGTGATATCCTGGAGCAGGACACTCCCACTCAGTGATATCCTGGGGCAGGACGCTCCCACTCGGTGATATCCTGGGCAGGAGACTCCCACTCGGTGATATCCTGGGCAGGACACTCCCACTCGGTGATATCCTGGGCAGGACACTCCCACTCGGTGATATCCTGGGCAGGACGCTCCCACTCGGTGATATCCTGGGGCAGGACGCTCCCACTCAGTGATATCCTGGGGCAGGACGCTCCTGTGATATCCTGGAGCAGGACTCTCCACTGGTGCAGGACACCGGTGATATCCCACGCGCGACTCGGTGATATCCTGGGGCAGGACACTCCCACTCGGTGATATCCTGGGGCAGGGACGCTCGGTGATATCCTGGGGCAGGACGCTCCCACTCGGTGATATCCTGGAGCAGGACACTCCCACTCAGTGATATCCTGGGGCAGGACGCTCCCACTCGGTGATATCCTGGAGCAGGACTCTCCCACTCTGTGATATCATGGAGCAGGACGCTCCCGCTCGGTGATATCCTGGAGCAGGACGCTCCCACTCGGTGATATCCTGGGGCAGGACACTCCCACTCGGTGATATCCTGGAGCAGGATGCTCCCACTCAGTGATATCCTGGAGCAGGACACTCACAGTCCTGTCTTGATGTTAGTACACTAGTACTTAGTAGTGGTGTTCCGATGATCGAAATAATTGAAAATCGATCGAAAGAAGGACTAAAAATGATTATAGATTGTAAAAAAACATACTTTCGATTAATTGGAATTTTGCTGTTTTAGTTTAACACACTTGAATGAAGTAAACTAGCGATTAAAATTTACGAATATTCACGAACAAACATGCGCTCAACAGCGTAAAGCTATGCGCATTGTAAAATTTTAACTACTTTTATTGTTTAATTACAATTCCAGTGTCTTTCTTACATGCATGCATTTCATTGCATGACAGTATTAGTTATAAGAATCATTTATTCGAAAAAACCTGGTGAAAAACTCTTCAAATTGGTGATTTCATTAAATATGGATATATTTCGATTATAATCGATAATCGTTCACCACAATCCTCCGATAATCGATAGTGGATTTGGTTTCCGATTCCCATCACTACTACTTAGTCATTCAGACATCACACCAGAAACATTCATGTAGAGAAATAAATCACAAAGATACTGGAGTTGTTTGCTATCACTCAGATGAAGTAAGATGTCAAAGGCTGCGAAGTAACTCTTTTTCTGAAGCTTACCCTTTTCATAACATATTTTGACCAGAACTTATTTGTAGTGTTTTCTAGACACTGTGTTCAGTGTCAAGTATGCATATTTGCCAAGTTACTTCAAAGTCTTACTTATGAAAGATTATGTTGCAATTGGTGGAATTAGCATAAACCCTGACATTATTTTGTGACTCGTGCAACAAAGAGCTGTTCAACAAAAAAGACTTGCAAATCAAATCATTTGTTGGTGTAAACAAAACACTTTCATGGGAACAAGTCAGCAAACAAATGCCCAGACACACACATTAGCCTGGAACACAGGCCTCGACACAGGTCTAGACGCACAGGTCCAAGCACATGCCTGGACACACAGGCTTTGACACATGTCTGGAAACACAAGCCTCGACACAGGTCTAGACACATGCCTGTAAACACAGGCCTCGACACAGGTCTAGACACATGCTTGGCCACACAGGCTTCGACACAGGTCTAGACACAGGCCTGGATACACAGGTCTAGACACATACCTGGACACATACGTCTAGACACACAGGTCAAGACACATGTCTGGACACAAATGCCCAGACACATGCCTGGAAGCACAGGCCATGACACATGCCTAGAAGCACAGGCCTAGACAGATGCATGGACACACAGGTCTAGACACATGCCTGGAACACAGGCCCAGACACATGCCTGGAAACATAGTCCCAGACACATGCCTGGATACAAAGGCCCTGACACAGGCCTGGACACACAGGCCCAGACACATGCCTTGAAACACAGGCCCTGAAACACAGGCCCTGACACATGCCTGGACACACAGGCCCTGACACATGCCTGGACACACAGGCCCAGACACATGCCTGGACACACAGGCCCAGACACATGCCTGGACACACAGGCCCAGACACATGCCTGGACACACAGGCCCAGACACATGCCTGGACACACAGCCCCAGACACATGCCTGGAAACACTGGCCCTGACACATGCCTGGAAACACTGGCCCTGACACATGCCTGGACACACAGCCCCTGACACATGCCTGGAAACACTGACCCAGACACATGCCTGGAAACACAGGGGAAGACACATGGCTGGACACACAGGCCATAACACAAACACACGGGTACAGACAACCTTTCCAAGACATACAGGCCCAGACACAATGCTCAGACACACCGATCTAGCATTACATCACAGGTGGTCGTATCACAGCTAACAGATAGCATCTCACAGCAGTAACAGCTAGGTTTCATCGTCTATATGGAAAAACTCAAATGTGCGCAGCCATCTGACAGAGATGTCAAATGTGGTGAAGCTGATGCCGACTGCGATGGGTCCTTTGATCCAGTTCATGCTGAGTCCCTTGTACATGCCCCTGATGAAGCCCTCCTCCCGGATCACCTGCGAGGCCGTCCCCACGATGCTGGTGTAGTCCTTGGAGTGACCAGTCACACCTGTAACACCACAGTCTCACATACAACAAAAGTTATGATTATGTCAAATATTTAGGTGTGTATATAGAAAAGTGGAAGGAGAGTATTGAAAGGTTTTGAAAGTTCTGCTTCAGAAAGGAGCACTATCACCAATTTCAGTCTAAGTCGTTTTGTTGCCATGGAAATGACAAAACTATTTTATTCAGAATTCCAAAACTACCAAAAGGCACAAGTACACCACCAGATCTACCTATGTGCCAAGTTTGGTGAAGAAATAGTGAATGGTTTTAGAGTTCTGCTCCGGAAAAGAGCAGAACCACCAATTTCAGTCTAAGTCAAACTTGTTGCCATGGAAACGCAGAAAATATTTTATTCAGAATTCCAACACTACCAAAAGGCACAAGTACACCACCAGACCAATCTATGTGCTAAGTTTGGTGAAGAAATAGTGAACAGTTTTAGAGTTCAGCTCCGGAAAAGAGCACTACCACAATTTCAGGCTAAGTCAAACTTGTTGCCATGGAAACGCCAAAAATATTTTATTCAGAATTCCAAAACTACCAAAAGGCACAGGTACACCACCAGATGTATCTATGTGCCAAGTTTGGTGAAGAAATAGTGAACAGTTTTAGAGTTCTGCTCCGGAAAAGAGCACTACCACCAATTTCAGTCAAAGTCGAACTTGTTGCCATGGAAACGCCAAAAATATTTTATTCAGAATTCCAAAACAACCAAAGGCACCAGTACACCACCAGATCTATCTATGTGCCAAGTTTGGTGATGAAATAGTGAGCGGTTTTAGAGTTCTGCTCGAAAAGAGCACTACCACCAATTTTAGTCAAAGTCACTCTTGTTGCCATGGAAAGCGCCAAAAATATTTTATTCAGAATTCCAAACAACCAAAAGGCACAAGTACACCACTTTGGTGAAGAAATAGTGAACAGTTTTAGAGTTCAGCTCGGAAAAGAGAGCTACCACAATTTCAGGCTAAGTCAAACTTGTTGCCATGGAAATAAAAAATATTTTTATTCAGAATTCCCAAAACTACCAAAGGCACAGGTACACCACCAGATGTATCTATGTGCCAAGTTTGGTGAAGAAATAGTGAACAGTTTTAGAGTTCTGCTCCGAAAAGAGCACTACCACCAATTTCAGTCAAAGTCAAACTTGTTGCCATGGAAACGCCAAAATATTTTATTCAGAATTCCAGTAAAACAATCAAAAGGCACCAGTACACCACCAGATCCCATGTATGTGCCAAGTTTGGTGAAGAAATATTGAACGGTTTTAGAGTTCTGTCTCGGAAGAAGAAAAGACAAATGTGCACGGACCGGACATTGGACGGATGGGAGTCCATTTAATACCCCCGCTAAACGCGTTATGAGGGATAACAAAGGTGAGAGGTAGCTCAAAGTGTTGGCTCATCACGCCGAACGTCCGGGTTCGATTCCCCACATGGGTACAATGTGTGAAGCCCATTTCTGGTGTCCCCCGCCGTGATTTTGCTAGAATATTGCTAAAAACGGCATAAAACCATACTCACTCACTCTTTCTGTGTAAAGATATAAAAAGATTCAGTGAATGTCACTGGTAGACCTTCCAGTCACTTCTTTAATCACACAAGGCATCCATATGACTTTTATGGAAAACATGGAGAACCCATCCAGCCCCTTAGTTCGTGACTTCCTCACTGTCTGCCCTGCCAACATGCTGACTGCCCTCCTGCTGTCTGCCCTCCCCAACACTCAGCCACCAAACCCTTTAGTTCGTGACAAACTCACTGTCTGTCCTCCTGCTGTCTGCCCTCCCCAACACTCAGCCACCAAACCCCTTAGTTCGTGACTTCCTCACTGTCTGTCCTCCTGCTGTCTGCCCTCTCCTCAACACTTCTCGCCACCAAACCCTTAGTTCGTGACACCTCACTGTCTGTCCTCCTGCTGTCTGCCCCTCCTCAACACTTCAGCTACTCAAACCTCCTTTTAGTTCACCTTAGTCAAGGATAAACTCACTGTCTGTCCTCCTGCTGTCTGCTCTCTCCCCAACACTCAGCCACCAAACCCTTTTTAGTTCGTGGACTTCTCACTGTCTGTCCTCCTGCTGTCTGCTCCTCCTCAACACTCAGCCACCAAACCCCTTGTAGTTCGTGGACTCACTCTCACTGTCTGTCCTCCTGCTGTCTGCCCCTCCCTCAACACTCCTTCTCAGACACCAAACTCCCTTTAGTTCATGACTTCCTCACTGTCTCTCCTCCTGCTGTCTGCCTCCCAACAACCAGCCACCAAACCCCTTAGTTCTGACTTCCTCACTGTCTGTCCTCCCTGCTGTCTGCTCCTCCTCAACACTCTCAGACACTCAAACCCCTTTAGTTTGTGACTTCCTCACTGTCTGTCCTCCTGCTGTCTGCTCCTCCTCAACACCTCAGACACCAAACCTTTAGTTCATGACAAACTCACTGTCTGTCCTCCTGCTGTCTGCCCTCCTCAACACTCAGCCACCAAACCCTTTAGTTCGTGACTTCCTCACTGTCTGTCCTCCTGCTGTCTGCCCTCCCCAACACCCAGACACCAAACCCTTTAGTTCATGACAAACACACTGTCTGTACTCCTGCTGTCTGCCCTCCCCAACACTCAGCCACCAAACCCTTTTAGTTCATGACAAACACACTGTCTGTATCTCCTGCTGTCTGCCCTCCCTCAACACTCAGCCACCAAACCCCTTTAGTTCATGACAAACTCACTGTCTGTCCTCCTGCTGTCTGCCCTCCTCAACACTCAGCCACCAAACCCTTTAGTTCTGTTGACAAACTCACTGTCTGTCCTCCTGCTGTCTGCCCTCCCCAACACTCAGCCACCAAACCCTTTAGTTCATGACAAACTCACTGTCTGTCCTCCTGCTGTCTGTTCTCCCTCAACACTCAGACACCAAACCTCTTTTTAGTTCATGACAAACACACTGTCTGTACTCCTGCTGTCTGCCCTCCCTCAACACCTCAGACACCAAACCCTTTTAGTTCATGACAAACACACTGTCTGTACTCCTGCTGTCTGCCCTCCCCAACACTCAGCCACCAAACCCTTTAGTTCATGACAAACACACTGTCTGTACTCCTGCTGTCTGCCCTCCTCAACACTCAGCCACCAAACCCTTTAGTTCATGACAAACTCACTGTCTGTCCTCCTGCTGTCTGCCCTCCTCAACACTCAGCCACCAAACCCTTTAGTTCATGACAAACTCACTGTCTGTCCTCCTGCTGTCTGCCCTCCCCAGCACTGAGCCACCAAACCCTTTAGTTCGTGACAAACTCACCTCTGTCTGTCTACTCCTGCTGTCTGCCCTCCTCAACACTCAGCCACCAAACCCTTTTTAGTTCAGATGACAAACTCACTGTTCTGTCCTCCTGCTGTCTGCCCCTTCAACACTCAGCCACTCAAACCCTTTAGTTCATGACAAACTCACTGTCTGTCCTCCTGCTGTCTGCCTCTCAACCTCAGCCACACTCAGCCACTCAAACCCTTTTTAGTTCGCGGGACAAACTCACTGTCTGTCCTCCTCCTGTCTGCCTGCCTCTCCTCAACACCTCAGCCACCAAACCCTTTAGTTCGTGACAAACTCACTGTCTGTCCTCCTGCTGTCTGCCCTCCTCAACACTCAGACACCAAACCCTTTAGTTCGTGACAAACTCACTGTCTGTCCTCCTGCTGTCTGCCTTCCTCAACACTCAGACACCAAACCCTTTAGTCCGTGACAAACTCACTGTCTGTACTCCTGCTGTCTGCCTTCCTCAACACTCAGCCACCAAACCCCTTAGTTACTGACTTCCTCACTGTCTGTCCTCCTGCTGTCTGCACTCTCCAACACTCAGCCACCAAACCTCTTAGTTCCTCACTTCCTCACTGACTACCTTGCCTGTATGCTGTCTGCCCTGTGTACATGCTGTCTGCCCTGCCTATATGCTACCTGCCCTTCCAACACGCTGTCTGCCCTGTCTACATGCTGTCTGCCCTGCCTACATGCTACCTGCCCTGCCTACATGCTGCCTGCCCTGCCTACATGCTACCTGCCCTTCCAACACGCTGTCTGCCGTGTCTACATGCTGTCTGCCTTGCCTACATGCTACCTGCCCTGCCTACATGCTACCTGCCCTGCCTTCATGCCTGTCTGCCCTGCCTACATGCTGTCTGCCCTGCCTACATGCTGTCTGCCCTGCCTTCATGCTGTCTGCCCTGCCTACATCCTGTCTGCCCTGCCTACATGCTGCCTGCCCTGCCTTCATGCTGCCTGTCCTGCCTACATGCTACCTGCCCTGCCTTCATGCTGTCTGCCCTGCCTTCATGCTGCCTGCCCTGCCTACATGCTGCCTGCCCTGCCTTCATGCTTTCTGCCCCTGCCTTCATGCTGCCTGCCCCCTGCCTACATGCTGCCTGCCCTGCCTTCATGCTGCCCTGCCCTGCCTACATGCTGCCTGCCCTCTGCCTTCATGCTGCCTGCCCTGCCTTCATGCTGCCTGCCCTGCCTTCATGCTGCCTGCCCTGCCTTCATGCTGTCTGCCCTGCCTACATGCTGTCTGTCCTGCCTATATGCTGTTTGCCCTGCCTATATGCTGCCTGCCCTGCCTTCATGCTGTCTGCCCTGCCTACATGCTGTTTGCCCTGCCTACATGCTGCCCAACACTGAGACACCCAACCCCTTAGTTACTGACTTTCTCACTGCCTGCCCTGCCTACATGCTTTCTGCCGTCCCCAACAATCAGACACCCAACCCCTTAGTTACTGACTGCCTGCCCTGCCTGCCTACCTGCAGTCTGCATCCTGCGATCGTACAATGTCTAGAGGGTAGGAGGCTGACTGGCCCAGCAGCCCCGCAACAGCACCAAATGACAGACGCTCCACTGGAGATGGATCTTTCCCCTTAGCATACTCTGCACAAAAATACGCAGAAAATAAAACCATGGACAGGAGTGTATGCAACACAAACTACAGACTTGACAACAAACTACTTGACAACACTACAAGAATAGTACTGAAACGTTGCACTCATGAATTAAAAAAATTGTATCCATAAAGTTCTTCTGTATTGTACTTCCCAACTTCTCAAATGTCACTCAAACAAGTGACACATAAGTTCAAGTTAAATACATTGACTCAGAGGGTCGAACAAAGACTACACAGCAGGGCATGTCATCATACCTGCATGTAATTTCTTCAGAGTCTCATATGTGAAGAAACTTATCCCTGAGTATGGAATCGAGCCAAGTATCGTGGGAGTGAATCCTCGGTACAGAGTGCGGACTCCCTCCTCTTTGTATATCTTCATGATCACCTCCTTCAAGTTGTGATACCTACAATAACATAATCTCTGCATCCAAAATGTCTTAAAAGATTTATTTATATCCTATGGTGTACCTTTGACTCTGGTTGGTTTGGTGTTTAATGCTGCACTCAGCAATATTCCAGCTATATGGCGGCGGTCTGGAGATAATCGAGTCTGGACCAGACAATCCAGTGATCAACAGCATGAGCATCGATCTACGCAATTGGGATACGATGACACGTGTCAACCAAGTCAGCGAGCCTGACCATCCGATCCCGTTAGTCGCCTCTTACGACAAGCATGGGTTACTGAAGGCCAATATTCTAAGCCCTCTGGTCACGGGTCCCCATTCTGAAGTGAAACTCTATGCTATCAATAAACATCTTGACTCCACCAATGAAATAACTGACCTCAAACATGCCCAATGTAGTACAATCTTATAACAGAAGGTAGTATGCCTGCAGCTACCTGTATTAGTGACACATTAAGATCCGGGCTAGAATTGGTCTTCAGCAAACCAAACCATACATTTATTAGTTACCTTCAAAGCACCATTGATAACTGGGGCAGTGGGGTAGCCTAGTGGTTAAAGCGTTCACTTGTCACAATGAAGACCCGGGTTCAATTCCCAACATGGGTACAATGTGTGAAGCCCATTCCTGGTGTCCCTGGCCATGATATTGCTGGAATATTGCTAAAAGTGAAGTAAAACACTAAACTCACTCACTTACTCACTCCTTGATAAATGCCACCACTCTCCCACCAAGGCTTACACAAAGTATACGATCTAGTCTATCAGTTGTCGGACTTTAAAGGATAGTATTCAAGTGGGCATTCAACATGCTGTCTTTGGTTTCCAGTACATGAACTTCATCAACACTAGTACTGGCGACTCTAGAATTAGTGCCTTACTTTTCCTTGGCAGTGACAGCCATTCTAGCCCGCACCATGTCCAGGGGGTAGGTACAAGCCACGGAGGTGGTTCCAGCCAGGGCACCTGCCAAAAACCTTCTCCCAGGGGACAGATGTCTGCAACATCAAACATTAAAACAACAAATAATTTGAGCTTCTGTATGGGTCTACCACTGTATGTAGCTGTCTGTCTTGTAAGTGAAGCATTGAAAGGAAAAGTCAATCATGAATGTCTCCGTTGAGACAAGCTCAATAAAACCCATCTATATAACGATTTTTATACAACAAAATTCGCAAAATCCCTGCTGTCTGCTTGAGCTGCCATTTTGGTAAGGGGATAACATCATTTCATACACCTATCGATAAAGTACTATCAGGGGGCTCACAATCGCGACCGATCGATAGTTCGATGCATCGTTACACCCTTACTCTATATATATGACAAATGTTACTCACTTTTTCCTCTTGTCGTGAAGGAGGAGCCACTTGTACTGCTCATGAGCAGCGTACTGTATCGCAGCATATGGCACAATCCTGGCCATGGTTGCCGAGTTACCGCGCCACAAGCGCAGGAAGCCTTCATTCTTGAATGTCAGATGCAAAAAACGGATGGCCTGGCGGAACGAGAACTGTGTGTTGCTAACTGAAAGTACAATGTTTTGGTTATTTGAAGTATGATGGCTTCCATATCTTTTTAAAATTGTTGAAACATGTTTTCCTGAAAATACTGAAAACTTCTTTTTAAACAGGATATGCTACATATTCCTTGAAACTGGATATTGTTAAAAAGAGTCTGTTTGTTTGAATCCTGCCTTCGTCAAAGTAATAGTACTCAACAAGGTTCTGCTCTTCAGCATCCTTAACAAATCTCAACCAGTACCCTGGATGCATTTATGTCGCAAGAGGCGATGAACAGGATCGGGTGGTCTGGCTCGCTGACTTGGTGGACACATGTCATCGTATCCCAGTTGCGTAGATCGATGCTCATTATGTTGATCACTGGATTGTCTGGTCCAGACAAGATTATTTACAAACCGCTGCCATATAGCTGGAATATTGCTGAGTGCGCCATTAAACAACAAACCAACCAACCAATCATATGTTACATGAAACAACTCAGGAAGAATATGCGAGAGTATATGTAACTCACATGATGATCTCTCTGGACTGTGCAACAAAACATTCATGTCATCAAAAATAGTAACCTGATGGATTAGCTGCCTTTTGTTATAATTACCGGGTAAAGTAGGAGACAGGGGCTTGTAAAAAAAACAACAACTGGAATCCAGAAATACATTGTCACTGACAGGGTCTTATACTATATACAAGGAAAGGGGTGTAATGAGATCAAAACAATAGTTCTTTTCAGGAGAAATTCAACAATGCTCACAGGATATACCCCTATAAAAGTATAAACACATTTCAAAATGATATACCTACAAAATGAAACATAGATCACAAAAAAAATGAAGCTCCACTTGGGAACATGGGTCCTTGGAAGCTCAATAACGATGTTTTATTCCAATTCCAAGCCAAAATCCCAGCTTAGAATTTGTACCATTAACTTCCGAAATTTCAACGCACCAAAACAAGCTGATTCAATGTCACCTTTTAGCATGTTTATCACCATTGTTTCTCAGACACTTACACCTAATTTCCCTAATGAGTTTACATACATTTATTCATCACAAACAGACCTGAATCGTGCCTGATCACCATTGACGACCTTAGCATTGACCTACCAAGCACTGAAAAGAGCCAGCGATCTGATTGGCTATAAATAATATATGTCCCTTGGCAACTACCTGTGACAAAAGAGCATGAGGATGATGGGATTAGGTGAGCTACACCTTAACGAAGGAGTCTTACTCTGAAAATTTATTTTTGTTCTATCCAGTGGAGCTATAGTGGTCTTGGCCACGGCTCCAGCCAGGGCTCCAGCGATGAGTGACGTTGATGAACTTGTTGTGCTGAGGCACCTGCAACAGACACGCACAGCTCTCAAACTCTAATTACACTAGATGGCTCTGTGCAAAGATATCCATGTTGCTGTATGTCCTGTGTCAGAAGCATCTGTTTCAGACATATTTATCTATACACGGTTATGTCTTTAACAGCCATTAAATGACATTTTCTAATGAAGCACAAAAATGAAACTGCAGTAATTCATTTTGTGAATTCACATTTCCAGTTTTCCAGAAGATTTAATAATAATATGAGGGTCAATTTGAAAATGGGGTGGGGTGGGGTAGCCTAGTAGTTAAAGCTTTTGCTTGTCACGCCAAAGACCCGTGTTCGATTCCCCACATGGGTACAATGTGTGAAGCCCTTTTCTGGTGTCCTCTGCCTAGATATTGCTGGAATATTGCTAAAAGTGGCGTAAAACATTACTCACTCACTCACTATGTAAATGACCCCTTGTCCATGAAATCAGAATCACCCTGCTTCCAACTACATGAACATGACAACCCATTGTTCCACACATATGTACATGACAACCACCTTGTTCCACCCCTCACAACCACCTTGTTCCACCTCTCACAACCACCTTGTTCCACCCCACCTTGTTCCACCCCTGACAACCACCTTGTTCCACCCGACAACCACCTTGTTCCACCCCTCACAACCACCTTGTTTCACCCCTGACAACCACCTTATTCCACCCCACCTTGTTCCCCCCTGACAACCACCTTGTTCCACCCCTCACAACCACCTTGTTCCACCCCTGACAACCACCTTATTCCACCCCACCTTGTTCCCCCTGACAACCACCTTGTTCCACCACCCTGACAACCACCTTGTTCCACCCCTCATAACCACCTTGTTCCACCCCTCACAACCACCTTGTTCCACCCCTCATAACCACCTTGTTCCACCCCTCACAACCACCTTTGTTCCCCCTGACAACCACCTTGTTCCACCCCTGACAACCACTTTGTTCCACCCCTGACAACCACCTTGTTACCCCTTGTTCCACCCCTGACAACCACCTTGTTCCACCCCTGACAACCACCTTGTTCCACAACCACCTTGTTCCACCCCTGACAACCACCTTGTTCCACCCCTTACAACCATGTCAGTACCAATACAGTGCAAGGAAAGAGTATTTACCTTGGCATTGATTCTGTGTTCTTCATGGTGAAAGTGTTCCACATCATTCCTGGTTTTGGAGCTGCTGCCTCTGACAGCCATAGAGGGAATGTGCCCCACGGTACTGGAGCTACCAGACAATTCCTTCACCTCTGCCCCCATACTCCCAGCATACTGGCTGTAACAACAAACACGCATACACTACAAGGCAAACATCATATAGAACAATATTATTGTAGAATTTGCTTTGATTTTCCAAAGTCTTGTAATAATGTGGACCATATATAGATAATTACCACTTGTCATGATGTAAACTGTAAACTATGCTCATGTATGTTTGTATTACCTATTCTGAAGGTGGGTGAGTATGCGGTGGAATATACATATAGCTAGGTAGGCAATGTACATGAGATACATATATAATAGCACTTGATAGTTGAGTTTGCAAATGATGTGAGCAGTCGTCATTTCCCCAATGTCATATATTTCCATAACATGTATATATACATATGTATACTCAACACACTGAACAAAGTCATTCTACATATATGTTCCCAGAAATAAGGAGGCACATACAAGACTGATATTATGGGAGTTATTCATTTTGAGTTGTAAGCATAATGAAAAAAATAACAAGCACATGAACAAGCATGAACAATGAAGAGAATAACAAGTAATGTAAGCTGGGCCAAGTAATACCCCCAGTCATGACAGGGTTCACACATTTCATGACAAGATATCCCATGATTTTTCAAGACAGATATTGCTTTTTCCAGACACAATATGTCCTGGGGTATTTTGATACCTTTAAACATATATTACTGTGTCTGAAATGAAACAATATCTTAAATACGGCCTCCCTTCTCCCTTACAGCTGTCCATTCACATATCTTTATGATAGATGACATAATATAAATGAAACATCAAGTGTAGCAATTTTTCTTTTACTCTTCAACTATCTTTATTGACAAATATGACATATCCAATATAAAACATGTTATATAATGGTTTAATATGTTACAGTATAAACTGCAGACACACTGCATAACACTCACTTTAACTTCTATTGATATAGTCCAGTTACAGTACTACATTTTCTTGGCTATATCTCTAATACAAACAACAATGATACCTCAGCTTGCAACAAACTTCTGTAAAGCTAAAAACATTACAGGTCTGCACATACAACTCTTATGGTAACGTAATGAACTGTACAAAGGAATTGCTTTGAAACTGATACACCCAAGATTATTCCACACCCAAGATTATTCCACACCCAAGATTATTCCACACCCAAGATTATTCCACACCCAAGATTATTCCATGATTTTGCCATGATTTCATCCATTCTTTCAAAATCCATGATTTTTCCAAGACTGGAGAATGTGGTGTGAAATTTCCAGGTCTTGAGGGAACCCTGCATGACTCAAAAATTTAGCTACACAACAATACTAAACACATTTTGACACCACTTTAAAGACTTGTTACAAAAACATCTCAGGGTTGTTCCCTTCCAAAACAAAACTAAGGAAATTGTGATGTTATGGCGCTTTGCAATGTTAGATGGTTAGGAGTCCCTGGTAAATTCAGATGGGAAATATAAAGTGCTTGCATAAATAGTCGGGCCAAATAAGAAACTTGGGGAGATAGGGATGGTTCTATTGACATGATCATGGACACTTCCCAAATATCATAAATCAACCACATCACCTAACCATGGTACATGAACACAAAACATTCATAAAAGCCCTATACTTACCTTTGCTGCAGCTACGTTAAATTACATGTTACTCTACTGATACATTGACCAAGTTTACATGGCTATTACGGCTGACATTCCATGATGAAGTATGTGGTAAACACTGGCAACACTGATCACATAACCCAAATCATACAATGTTAATAATCAGGAAGGCAATACCAAAGGTAAAAGCTCATCGGTATTCTGTGGTGACAACTGGCAATTGGCTTTATTCATATTATTCACTGATACTGTTTGATCCAAGTGTTCATTCTATACAAGTATTCTACAGAGCAGCAGCATTTCTATGTGTGTTTCAATAATACAAAACACCTACATTTGGTATTCAAAGAATCTAATAGCATCAACATTACAGGCTCTTACTATAAACATTGATCATATATGAAACATATTACACATGACCGAAGTTCCATTTTAGAAAACAGTCGGCAAGTAACCCCACCATTTTGTCAGCAAGAAAGAACAAAGCTAACTGGAAACTTTTGCCACTCACTGGCTTAGCATTGTCCTGTTCATCTGTTAAACAGACCCTGACTTGAAATAATTTCAAAAATGTGTTCTAGGCAATGTGCTTTGTCTTGAGAGCTGAGCAAAGTATTCCTACATAAAGCCTGTAGGTTAGGTTAGACTAATGCTTAGTCTCTGAATATTAGACTAACACTTAGTCTCTGACTGACTGACTTACTGAGTTTGTTTTTACGCCGCTTTTAGCAATATTCCAGCAACATCACGGCAGGGGACACCAGAAATGGGCTTCACACATTGTACCCATGTGGGGATTCGAACCCGGGTCTTCGGCGTGATGAGCCAACGCTTTAACCACTAGGCTACCCCACCGCCCCCTTAGTCTCTGAATATATACAAACAAACCCATATACATTGAAAAGGAGCCCCAGGGAGACCAGAGATTCCCGAACCTTAGGAATTCTAGACTTGCTTTATTTAGGGCTTTAGCATTGCAGAGTGGGCTTGGCACTGGGGAAAATAATGTGGTTCAGGGACTGTGACACAATCTATTTGAATATATATAATTCTGATTTTGCAACAGATAAACCTATTAAAATTCAGAAGAAGCCCCAGGGAGACTAGAGATCCAGAACCAGAGGAAACTGTGAGGAACTGTGAGACAGACTCGGAGGGCTAGGCTGTAGGGGAAAAAATATGGTTCAGGGACTGTGAGACAGATTAGGAGGGCTAGGCAGTAGGGGAAATAATGTGGTTCAGGGACTGTGAGACAGACTACGAGTAGGTGTGTGACCTAAGCTCCACACAGCGGATCTCCCAGTAAGCTGTTATCTCAGCTGGAGTACACACAGAGTAGAAGGTGGCAACTGTCACTGGACCTAACACTGGTGTCTATGGACAGATGTAGATGGTATCATTATCATGATTATGAGTGAGTGTTGGGACTTTCTGTGTTGACAGGCAAATGGAAGGTTACAGTGTACCACCGACTTCACTCTGTGATCCTGTCTAACTTCACCATGACAACCAAAACACACGTACAGGTCACCACAAGGATATCAGTATATGACATTAACTGAAAGGACAACTTGAAGCAAAAATATTGCCACAAGGCTTTCTGTTATGAAAATGCCATTTGTGACACTTCAACCAAATTTTCATACAAACATTTACAGCAAGGGGAGGGTAGGGGTTAAGAAAGGTATTGCATCTTCTACAGTCGATACTGTGAGTGAATATGGCTTTATGCTTCCCTTACCAATATTCCAGCAATATCATGCCCAGGGACACCAGAAATGAGCTTGCACCCATGTTGGGAATAGAACCCTGGTCTCAGGCCTGTCTCAGCGTTGCCCAAACTGTTTCTCTTCAAAGTCAAGTTTGGTTCTCATGCTGACCATACCAAAAACCCTATGTTTTATGAAACCCTTTGCTATTTATATTGTTTATTGCTCATGACAACATTCACTGTGGTGACACCAACTGCTGTTCTTGAAAGGTTCAATTAAGGTCAAAACTGATAATAATGAAATATACTTAATAGGAACAGCTACTAACAACACCTGTGCCAAATATAAAAAACTTTCTGAAAATAGATTAATAGCCATTAAAATGATAAATGGGTCTCAAAATAGGATTGCCATGGATTCCTGGTGGATGGTGGCATGGCAACCATGTACCCATACATGCTAGGGAATTAGGCCAAATATGCAAATTCATGTATTCACAGTGAACCAGCAATAGATGAATTTACAAATACAAGTCTGTCTCCATTTGAAACTTGAACTGGAGTAAAACCACACAGAGGAGTGCTCTATTTCTGTATACTGGGCCAGGCAGAATCATGTATGTCAGTCATCTTTATTGACAATAAAAACAATCAAAGTTTGTAGGACTGCAAAGTTTTAAATTTCTGATTATTCAAATGGTCAGAGCTCCAGATAAGATTTAGCTCATGTGGGTACTGTACCCACCGTATTTTTGTGGAGTGGGTATTATGAATTTTGAGTGGGTATTTCATTTTCCATTACCCACTGCTTTCATATATGTGTATTTCACATATTTCACATATTTCAGTCATTTTACTCACCTAAGTATTATGTCATTGAGTAAGTTTACTAAGCAGGTATGTTCTGCCTTATGTCATACCAAAAGCAAAACCAACTTAAATATAATGGAAATGATTTCATAAAAAATCACTCATACTATACTGACAGTACAACTTGATAGCAATCGATGTCTTTTTCCATTATGCAAGCGATTTTTATCAATATATTCCGTACGCATTTGTATTAAACTTTTTTGCGTATCTGACATTTTAAATGCGTAATTGGTATGCAACAATTATTTTTCAATGCGTAATTGGAAATTTTCTATGCGTGTTTTACCCGGATACGCAGCTTATCTGGGCCTCTGAATGGTAATAATTTACTTATATTATTTCAGAACAGTCTGCCTGTAAACCATGGTTGACTGCGCTAGTAAACTAAACAAAGAGAGAGAGATTTAATTTAAAACAATAAGCTATATATACAACATAAATAGCACACTCCACTCTGACACACACACATAAACACAGACACAGACACAGACACAGACAGAGAGAGAGAGAGAGACAGAGAGACAGACAGACGCACGACGCACGCACGCACGCACACCAGACATTATTGTGAAGTATCAAACATGTCTGCCAAATGCCACTGTAATTATTGAGCACAGTTCAATCTGTGCCCAGCTCTGTTTGGTGGTGCTCTTTATAAGAAAACATTCAATGTATTCTCTTTCAATATAAATAAATAGAAATGCCTCACATTGACAAAAAAGTGCCTGTTGACATTTAATTTTGTATGCAGCTTACAAACTTCAACTTCCATTGCCACCAAGCTAACCAGCCCAGATCGGTTAGTCCCATGTTAATTATGGCTGGGAGAGGAAACCCATGTTGGATCTGC